GGATCGAGTCCCACGTCGGGCTTTCAGCTTGGCGGGGAGACTGCTTCCCTCTCTCTCTCTCTCTGCCTGCCTCTCTGCCTACTTGTGATCTCTCTCTGTCAAATAAATAAATAAAATCTTTAAAAACTAATAAAAAATATGAAAAATAAAACAAAAAACAAAACCAAACCAAACCCAGACAAACCAAAAAACTAATTAAGAGCTTGATGGATGGGTTTGAAAAGATAATTTTTTTTTTTTTTTAAGTAGACCCCACACCCAACGTGGGGCTTGAACTCATGAGCTTGAGATCAAGAGTTGCATGTCAGGTACCCCAAGAGCAGAATTTTTTAAAAAGCTAAAGGCTTTTTCTGCCTTCGGCTCAGGTCATGATCCCAGGGTCCTGGGATCGAGCCCCGCATCGGGCTCTCTGCTTGGCCAGGAGCCTGCTTCCTCCTCTCTCTCTGCCTGCCTCTGCCTACTTGTGATCTCTGTCTGTCAAATAAATAAATAAAATTAAAAAAAAAAAAAAAAGCCTTCAAAAAGCTAAAGGCTTTTTATTTTTTTTTTAAGATTTTATTTATTTATTTGACAGACAGAGATCACAAGTAGGCAGAGAGGCAGGCAGAGAGAGAGAGGAGGAAGCAGGCTCCCTGCTGAGCAGAGAGCCCGATGCGGGGCTCGATCCCAGGACCCTGGGATCATGACCTGAGCCGAAGGTAGAGGCTTTAACCCACTGAGCCACCCAGGTGCCCCAAAGCTAAAGGCTTTTTAAAGGGGCGCCTGGGTGGCTCAGTCATTAAGTGTCTGCCTTCGGCTCAGGTCATGATTCTGCTCTTGGGATCGAGCCCTATATCGATCTCCATATAGAGCCCTGCATCCAGCCCCGCATGGAGCCCCACAACAGGCTCTCTGCTCTGCGGGAAGTCTGTTTCTCCCTTTCTCACCACGCCTCCCTTTACCCCCCGGCTTATGTTCCCTCTTTCGCTGTATCGCTCTCTGTTAAATAAATACATAAAATATTTTAAAAATAAAAAAAAATAAAAAGCTGAAGACAGAATTAGTGAAGTGAAAAGTAGTCACAAGAAACTTTTAGAACATAGCATTGAAGAACAAAAGATAGAAAAAATGAAAATAAAAGAAAAGGATGTAGTGAGAAGGTCTAATAGGTATTTCAGCTGGGGGCCCAGAAGGAAAGAGTCAGAAACAGTATTTAAACATACAATGGGTGAATTTTTTTTCAAAATTAATGAAAAATTGTGCAGATGTGATAAGAAGCCATGAAATGACATATATTCACTCTACCACGTGTTCTGACTCTTAAAACAATGCATCTTCAGGGCACCTCTCTGCCTCAGCCGTTAGAGCATGCAACTCTTGATCTCAGGGTCATGAGTTCAAGCCCCATGTTGGGTGTAGAGCTTACTTAAAACAAAAACAAACAAACAAAAAAAACCCCAGTACATCCTTCCTGTGCAAATCTGTCTTTGAAAGGATTTTGAAATCAACAACAGGTAGCTCCATAGCAGATGGAATAGGGCTTGTGTGGGCTGAGTTCAAATACAAGCTTTGCCACTCCTTGAGGCGCTACCTGGAGAAGTTAGCCAAACTTCAGTTTTCTCGGCTAATAAATAGGGCTAGTAACGCAGACCTACCCCACATTTTCATTGTGAGACTCAAGTGATACAGTGCATGTGAATAAACCTAGTGAAAGCCAAGTACTTTAAAAATGAGATATGATTTGAGCAGGATCACAGAATTACCAGTGACAGTGACAGGTAGGGCCGGCTACATAATTTGCAGGTCCCAGCGCAAAGTGAAAATGCAATGTTGAAAAATTATGAAGAATCTCAACACAGTGACAGCAGAGCATGAAACCAAGTGCAGGTCACACGCCCCTGAAGCCAGCCTTGGTAACAGGCCCTGCAAAGAACCGCCCTGTGCATTAGAAAAGGGCTGTCCGTCCCACACCAAGGTGTCTGCAGCCATAGCCCACATTATCTTTGAGTTCTGAAGGGCAGCAGTGTCTGGGGAAATTGCAAGCACACGTGTTTCCAAATGCCAAGGAGGGCAAGTGCAGTGACCGGAGTGGTTTTCTGAGAGAGTGGGTGGGGCCAGCCAGGCTGCCATCAGAACTGTGGAACTGACTGTTCCCCACAGACTCTGGCCTAGAAAAAAAAAAGCCTGCAGCTGTATCTACAGGCCCTGTTGTTGTTTGCTGCGGTGTGTTACAACACAGCCTGGCAGCCTCCAGGGCCTTTCTGTCTTCCTCCTGGAAGAGCCTGGTCCCAGAACATGTGACATGACCACACAGCCCTGCAGATTTGCCCATATTTCTCCACGCTGTTCCCTCAATTACCAGGCTTTTCCAGGTCTGCATGCTTTATGCTCACACTATCCTCTGGAGTCCGGGAATCCCCTTCCTTCCTCTTCTACATCCCTCCGTCTGGCAAACACCATCTTTGAAGACTCCATCTTTTAGGAGTCAGCTCTACTGTCACCTCTTCCGTGAAGCCTTCCCTGCCTTTTCCAGGAAGGGCCAATTGCTTCTTCTTCGAGCTGCCCACTATAATGTAAGTGGTATTGACAGGTGCTGTGGATGTTTCTATTTCCCTGGCTAAAGCTTTCAAGGGCTGTCACAGTGTCTTTTCACCTATGTATACTCTGCACACAGCACTTGCTATTATTAGTAGATTCTTTTCTTAAATTAATTTATTTGAGAGAGCGCATGCACACGAGAAAGGGGAGGAGCAGAGGGAGAGGAACAGGCGGACTCCCAGAGCCGGTTGGGGGGATTGATTTCACAACCCTTAGATCAAGTCCCACACTTTACCAAGCCACCCAGGCTCCCCTGTTGGTAGATTCTTAATCAGCTTGTGTTGGAAACTTTTAGAACAAATCGTTGAAGAATAAAAGGTTGGGTTTAGGGGCGCCTGGGTGGCTCAGTGGGTTAAGCCGCTGCCTTCGGCTCGGGTCATGATCTCAGGGTCCTGGGATCGAGTCCCGCATCGGGCTCTCTGCTCGGCAGGGAGCCTGCTTCCCTTCCTCTCTCTCTGCCTGCCTCTCCGCCTACTTGTGATCTGTCTGTCAAATAAATAAATAAAATCTTAAAAAAAAAAAAAAAAAAAAAGGTTGGGTTTGGGTTTAATCACCAGTGTCTTGTTGAATTAATGCATGAATCAATTGTTTCAGTGGCATCTGGTAAAGAGCGAAACTTTCAGGCATTAAGCCAGGTCCCTTGCCCTTGAGGAGGTTTCAGTGTTGGTTCTAGTTGCCCTCTCTGCAGGCACCACCTCCTGAAGGCGGCGATGGTGATTTGTTGAAGAGGTTCTTCAGAAATACCTAAATGACCAACATGACATAATGCAGAGAGCAGATTTAGAGCAAAGAGATGTGGCTTCTGATCTGGTTATGAGACATCAGGTTTCCACAGGTGACTATTAAGCTCCATAGCTATGGGACTTTAGGTTTCAGTTTCCTTAACAGTGAGGGGATTGACTTAGTTATCCCCTAAAGGCCAGGTGCGGCCAACTCAAACCCCTCATCTGAATCTCTATGGGGAACTAGCAGAGGGAGCCAGCCTTCCGGCTGGAGGAGCTTGGCCCCTCCTTAAGGAGAGTTTGTTGAGCAGGTCTACCCTTTGTTGATGGCAGGGGTGGGGTGCGACAGGAGGCGATCAGAGAACACAAACATTTTTTAAGGCCCTTTGCCGTCTCAATCACCTCGTATCTCACGCTTGAACGGCAGAAAGCCACGGCCAAGCACTGTCTTCAGTCACTTAGTGTCCATGGGAAATGCTGCGTGCTAAACTCGGTCTCAAAGTGGGATTTCCCCAGGCTCAACTGGGCATCTTTGACTTCCTGGCGCTAACCTAGTCCGCTTACCTGACACAAGCAGCCAGGCCTACCCCTCTCCATCCTCCGAGGGGTAGGCCGGGTAAACAGGAGGGCAGAGCTTTCAGAGATACTATTCAGATGTGAAGTCAACTAGCTGGTTTAGGCATGAGTTTCTCTGGAGGTCAGAGATGGTGTAAGGGGGGCGTCGGTCAGTTTCCTCCATCCCTTCCCTCCCGCCCCACAAAGGCCAAAGGCCAGACACGTGGGCTGCTGTGGAGAGGCGGAGTTTACACTAAGGCGGAGGTGCAAATGGACGGGGGCGGGGTCTTATTTGCATGGACTGCGCGCGGCCACCAATCCGGACAGGCGGAGCGACAGCCCGCGCGCCTTTTGGGGGCGGACTGACAGCCCCAGGGCCCTATGGAAGGCGGGTCCTGCGGCCGGCGGGGGCGGGACCGTGCCGGGCGCTGCCCGGGGGATTCGGGCCGGTTCGCGGGCGCTGCCAGTCTCGGGCGGCGGCGTCCTGCGCGCGGACGGCCTGCTGGGCGGGCTGGGGGCCGAACAGCGCGCGGGTGAGGCAGAGAGAGACCGGGCCGAGGAGCAACCACTGCGACAGGTACCGGCGCCATGGCCTTAGGGATGGGGCGGGCGGCCGCAGCGCCCCGGGAGCCGAATTCCCTCCTTCGCGGTCCAGGGGCTGCCGCGCTGCGGCGCCCCCTCACGCACGGGTTCCCAGCCCCTGGAGCGGCGCTTCGGAGCGAATGGTGCCGGGCAAGCCTCGAGGCGAGCGCGCCGGGTGCCCCTAGCCCCACTGCGGAGCCCCTCTGTGCCCCGCCGGCGCGCGGGGCCGGTACTCCCTCTGGGAGGCGCGGAGTCCGGCGGCCGCGCGAGCCGCTCCCCGCCCCCGCCGCGCTCCCCCTCGCGGAGGCGAGGCCGGTCGCGCCCGCTTGTCCTCACCCGGCTTTTGTTTCCCGCCCGAGGTGACAGGTCCCGGCTCCGGCTCCCGTCGGCGGCCCCCGACTCGCCCGAGGCCCGGCGCCTCTGACCGCGACCGCCCGGAGCAGGCTGCGGGACCCGCCGAGAGCCGGGCGGCGCGTGAGCAGCAGCCGCCGCAGGCGGGAGAGAAACTTCGCCTTCTGGGGCCCGGGCGGCGGGCGAAGTCGAGCCGGGGTGAGCGGTGCGCCGGGACGCCGCGGGCGCGATGGAGCCGCGCACACCTGGCGGGGCCCGTGGCGGGCGAGGATAACGGAGTGTCCCGCGGCTGCGCTCCTCGCTTTCGGTTTGCGCTCCCCGGGCGGTGGGTGTGGATGCGTGTTCTCCGCCTTCACCTGCCGCCATGGGACAAGTGGCTGGGATACAGCATCCCGGTGCTCGGCCGCTCTTGGAGGGTGCCAGTGCAGCGCCGTTCTAACAGGTGATTATTCTCTTGCCAGGTGAAAGCCAGTTAAAAACTTGTTCTAGGGCTCCTCATTCGGTTCACTCCTAGAACGTTAGAACTGCTTCCACTGATGTCTGAAAAGCTGTGCTGGCGATCATATAGAAGCCAAACCCAGTATTGATTAAAAACAAACCCAGCCATTCGATGGGGTCAGCGTGTAGGACGAGCTTGGAGGAACATTGTAGTCTTACTTAACAGTTCGGTTTCTGCAGTGGTGGCAAAAGCATAGTAAGGTACAAAGTAAATGGAGAATGCAGAACTCTAGATAGCTGTGGTTCAGGACAGCGTGTACAACGTTTGGCCGCCATTCAGTAAATTCTGCATGAAGTAGTTTGAGCTCGTGGTTTTGGATTTACTTTTCAGGAGGATGTTTTCCAGTGGAATAAGGCTTAGCGTTGAATGGGAGCTTTCTTTGCCTCGCTGAGGATAGACAGGAGTGTTTATTTTCATTGTCTTACCATTTTGTTAGATTGTGGACAAGGGAAAAGTTAAGGCATATTTCGGTTAAGTATTTTTAATAGTCTATGGAATCCTGCCCCCCCCAACTCCCGAGGGTTTTTACTTTAGAGAATTGTAGTAGCTTTCTCTCTTGGTGTTTGAATCAAAATTCAAGGATAGACTTGAAAGATTTTTTATTCTTTTAGGGAAATCTTTATTTTTCATACTTTCACTTACCATTTTCTCTTTGTCTCTCTCCCAACTGACCTCCACTTAATTTACAGTTACGGCCCTGACCAATGTAAGGCATCTACAGAAAAAAATACATTTAAAAATAATATATAACAATTTTTAAAATGTAGTTTTTACATATTTAAATTTATTTATAACACCTGATTTAGCTCGATTTTTTTTCTGATGTGTCTTTACTATCTTCTGGGGATGATTTATATTTAATAGAAGTGTAACTTCTTAAGAACAAAGTTATAGTTTTGATTTAATTATGCTACTTTATTAGTATTTTACTGAATTGTAATTTTACTATTTACCTACCTAATTAGTAACACCATTTAAAGCTGAACGCTTTAACCAATAGGCTTGTTGTGACTGGGATTTTTAAAAACAAAATCAAAGATTGTCTTTATGAAATGTTTTCTATCATTAAAACAACGGGCTTAAATGTTATGAGGTCTTTGTCTTTACAACATTTAACAGAACAAATATTTTTCTGAATCTTTAATTTTTTGGTTATGGTAGTTTAGATGAATTTCTTTTTTAAAACATAATTTTAACCAGTTCAGCATGAAAAACGTAAAATACTGGATTAGGCAACTAATTAAAACTTCAATTTTCTGTTTATTCTTGGATTGGAAGAGAACACATATTTTGGGATATTTAGTTTCCTAAAACTTTCTTAGCTTAGAATGAATCAGTCTAGAGAAGAAAGAACATCATCTTTCTGTAGCTGTAGAAGAAATTATTGCTATTAAAGCTAAGTTGTCTTTTTGATGCTTACGGTAGATTGCCTGAACAGTGACTTGTCCTGTAGAGTGGGTTTTATTCTATATAAATAGTTGTAAGGAATCTTATAAGTTTGGGGGTCCTCATTGTTTTGGATGATTTAGGTGGTTGTTCTTTAAAGTGTATAGGAATATACTAGTTTTGACTACTGTGTGTAATTTACTATGTATAATAAGTATTATAATCTGTATCCTATGGTGATATTTAAATATACCACATATGATAAATTAAACTTATATTTCATAGTTTTATTTATATAAAAGCATAATTTAGGAACTTTATAAAGTACCTTTTAATTAAAAACCCATTTTCAAATTCAGTTTTTAGGTATTTTACTGGGTTTTTTTGTCCACTTTAACTTGTGGTAGACCATATCATAAAATTATCAACCACATTTCAGTTTCAAAATTAAGCATAAGATGAAGTCTCACATCTATATGGTAAACACTGTGAGTGTGTTTAAGTCCTTTATCCTCAGGCGTGGTTCCTTTTGAATTTTGAATTTGGGAGTGGGCAAATTATTTTTGAATGAATAGAACCACAAAAAACAAGGACATTTATTAAAATAGCTAATTTGAGGAATAAATCAGATGATCCTCTTAGACATGAATGTGGCTTTATTTGACAGTAATATGCATGTTATACTGGAATATCTCTATATAGGCCCTTACTATAATTTTTCACAATTCCTAAAGAAAAAATCTGTACATATTTTTTTTAAAGATTTTATTATTTACTAATGAGAGAGGCAGAGGGAGAAGCAGGCTCCCTGTGAGCAGGGAGCTCGACTGGGACTTGGTCCCAGGACCCTGGTATCATTAACCTGAGCAGCAGGCAGACGCTTTACTGCCTGAGCCACCCAGGCACCCCAAGAAAAAAATCTATATTGTACATATTTTGCCACACCAAATTCTGTAATTACTTAATACTGAACAACCAAATATGTATATTTTATAATTTGAAACTATTTGAACCTTTTTTTTTTTTTTTTTTTTTTTAAGATTTAAGTAATCTTGGGCACCTGGGTGGCTCAGTGGGTTAAAGCCTCTGCCTTTGGCTCAGGTCATGATCCTAGGGTCCTGGGATGGAGTCATACATCAGGCTCTGTGTTCAGCAGGGAGCGTGCTCCCCCCACCCCCCTGCCTGCCTCTCTGCCTACTTGTGATCTCCGTCTGTCAAATAAATAAATAAAATCTTAAAAAAAAAAAAAAGATTTAAGAAATCTGTACACCTGGTGTTGTGCTTGAACCCACAACCTGGAGGTCAAGAGTCACATGCTCCACCGACATAGCCAGACAGGCACCCTGAAACTATTTAAACTTTTTAACCTAGCTGATTAATAAATTAGATTTTATTTTATTATACATTCTGAATTTTCTACAGTGCATTATGTTTTTTCAAACGCTCTCTGGCCAGTTTTATTAAAGAAAAAAATTTTTATAAAGATTTTATTTATTTGACAGAGAGATTACAAGTAGACAGAGAGGCAAGCAGAGAGAGAGGGGGAAGCAGGCTCCCTGCCGAGCAGAGAGCCAGATGTGGGGTTTGATCCCAGGACCCTGAGATCATGACCTGAGCCGAAGGCGAAGGCCTAACCCGCTGAGCCACACAGGCACCCCATTAAAGAAAAATTTTGCATGATTTACAGTCTTTTGTGGCATGTTTTTAATGATATCAGAATCGCCTGGATCATTGATAACCAGGGTGCACACTTTGGTATTTTCCACATGCTGTGTCCAATTCAGTATTGCTGTCACTTTAGTAATGAACACGTTTTGGCCAACGTGATACCGTACTGTATTTCAGAGTTCCTCATGGCATGCAGTTGTTGGCTAGGATGACCAGTTTTGCTTGGCCATCTCTGATCATTTTGTCTGCTTGTACTCCATCGTGTACTGTCCACTTATATTGAGTTGGAGCTCAGAGATAATCGACTCCAGTGACTTTTTCTTCTGTGCAGCCACCATCTTCTTTAGATGCAGGACAAACCCCAACCAAGAGCAGTCGCCAAGATGGCCAAGGAGAGAGGAACAATCTACAGGGCATTTTTAACTTCTGATAATATATCCCCAAAGCATAAAAGAAAATGAAATCTACACACATAGGAGATTAAGTGGTTGTTAGTATGAAAGTAACTGTTGATTTAAAAACAGTAACTAAGGGCGCCTCGGTGGCTCAGTGGGTTCAACCTCTGCCTTCAGCTCAGGTCATGGTCTCAGGGTCCTGGGATCGAGCCCCGCATCAGCCTCTCTGCTCAGCGGGGAGCCTGCTTCTCCTCTCTCTCTGCCTGCCTCTCTGCCTACTTGTGATCTCTCTGTCAAATAAATAAATAAGATCTTAAAAAAAATAAAATCAATAACTACTTAAGTGTGACTTAATTTATGAAAAAGATACATACCAGGTAAAAGACTCTTCTGTCAGAAGAGACAGCTTAAAATTAATTATAGTAGGTCCTTATGCACCCTTGTAACTAATCTGTGTAACAGGTTACTAAGGATATTTTAGCAGTATTTGAAACACTAAAATTCAAGTACTCAAAATGATTGTATTTCATGTTTTTTAATGAAAAGAATGGGCCTGTACTCAGTTGAAACTTAAACATTTAAGGCTATATATAATCCTTAAATGGAGCAAGTTTATTTTATGCTTAATTTAGTATTTACTTCCAGTCTTTTGGAAAACGGCTAGTTAATGAGAATAAAGGACCACCAGAGGGAGTATGGGGTCTACACATTCGCTGTATCTGTTTTCTACTCTTGGTCTGGAAGAAAAACACTTTAAAAATAAGAATAAGATTGTAATTCTTTAAAACAGGAAAAAGATAATGAAAGTTGGAGGTTGTAGCTGTTTAGAGCTGCTGTCATTTTTGTAACAGTTAATCAAAACTGTTTTCCTAGTTTTAGAAAATGGTACAATTATTAGAAAAGTGAAAATGATGTATTTTCAGAGTGAATAATGGGTTAAGTGAATAATTACACATCTGCGAAAGTTAAGGAACATCCAGATGCTAAGAATGTTGTTGTTTTTTTTTTTAAAGATTCTATCTATTTATTTGACAGACAGAGATCACAAGTAGGCAGAGAGGCAGGCAGAGAGAGAGAGAGGAGGAAGCAGGCTCCCCGCTAAGCACAGAGCCCAACGTGGGGCTCGATCCCAGGACCCTGGGATCATGACCCGAGCCGAAGGGAGAGGCTTTAACCCACTGAGCCACCCAGGCGCCCCAAGAATATTTTTTAAGATTAAAAACGTAGTACATTAGAATTGTGTTTCCTTGAAGTTGTTCATTTTGGGGGAGGAGGAGTAAAAGGTGAACAAAGATCAAACACCTTTAAAACAGGGTTGTTTCCTCCTTTTATAGTTGCAAACCCTTCCTAAAGCAAGCAGTGGTAAATTTCTAGAACGATTTGTAGCATTCTGCCTCCATCTTGGCAGTTTATAAGTGATGTTAAATGAGGATCCACTTCTAGTCCCTGAAAATGATCATCTAATTATCAAAAGCAAGGTTGGGAATTTCAAACCGATCTTTTTTTTTTTTTTTTTTTTTAAGATTTTATTTATTTACTTGACAGAGAGAGAGATCACAAGGAGGCAGAGAGGCAGGCAGAGAGAGAGGAGGAAGCAGGCTCCCCACCGAGCAGAGAGCCCGATGCGGGGCTCGATCCCAGGACCCTGGGACCATGACCTGAGCCGAAGGCAGAGGCTTAACCCACTGAGCCACCCAGGCGCCCCTCAAACCGATCTTTTAAAAAATCAGATTTGTATGTATGTTCCTTAATGTTACTACCTCTGGAAATTAAAGAACCTCCTCTGCTTTCAGCTGAAAATTATACAGTGGAATTTCAAAGTCAAGATGTGTTTGTCATAGACTTAATGCTGTAGTAAATTACTTTTTGGGATGGAGAAAACATTCTAGAGATTGAGTCCTTTTCAGAATATATTCTCCATGAAGTTGGAATGGTCTTTACCCATGTTAAGTATTAGCCAATGGATTATTTCCCTGTTTAACTTTTTAAAAAAGCAAGACAATAAGATAAAACTTGTAATTTTAACACATATTTTGGGTTTTACACCTTGCATAAAAAATTATTATGTAGTGGAGGTAACATTTAATATTTTGAAGTTCTAGTTTGGGGAGGAGATTTGTTATGAGAAGGAGCTATTTCATTGAAGCAGAGCAGGGCAACTTAAATGGAATGAAATCTGTTTCTCTTTTGAATCATTCTTGAATCATGATTTTTGAATGATCAAAAATCATTGATTTTTGAATCAATCATTATGGGTTAAAACATAATACTTACTAAGAAAAATTAAACAGCATTTCCATCTTAGATTTATTTTTACTATGAACTTTATAAGTTTTTTAAAAATATCTTTGTTGGTTCCAGGTGGACTTCTCAGAATCTATTCATTTATACACACCCTCACATAGATAAAACACCTATATTTTTTGTATTTTATATAACTATATATTTTGTGATATGTTGATGGGCAATCAGTCCATCTTTCTATACTATATGACTTTATGGGCCCATTTATATGTGGGAACCCTCCCCTTTTTAAGTGAAATCTTATTGCATTAAGGGGAACATGTTTGCAAAAAGATTGATGTAAAACGTTCGTGCAGCTTTTTTCATAATAGGAACGGACTACTGATTCACACAACATAAATGAATTTCAGAAATATTCAGAGCAAGAGAAGCCAGGCACAAGGATGTACCAAATGATGCCATTTATGAGAAATATAAGAACAGGCAAAACTTTAGGTGCGGTGATAGAAATCAGGACAGTGGCTTCTGGGTAAGGTTGTGGTTGACTGGAAAGGGGCAAAAGGGACCTTTCTGGGGAGATGGAAGTATTCTGTAACTTGACTTGGGTAATGCTAATTCAGTGTATACTTGTTGGGTAACTTCTTATTTTCATATAATTTTTAACTTACAGAGAAGTTGCAAGGCCTAATACAAGGAACATCGAGATTCACCTGTTGTTGGTGTATGCGCTTGATCAAACTTATTGAGCTGACTACTTAAGATCTGGACACTTTACGGTATGTAATTTTTACTTTAATTAGGAAAAAAGCTACAACAATTTGTTGAAGAGGACAGTGATCTTTTTACCTGCAAAAAGTGAAATACCTCAATTCAGACTTCATCAGTGCTTTCATAGTGATGGAGGAAAAGAGAATCTCTGTCAGCCTTCTTTTGTCTTTACATAGATGTACACACTCTGCTTCTCTCTAAAGTTTCCTAATGACCTGTTTCATTAGAAGAAATAAGATTCTGAAAATGATTCAAGGCAGAACTGCCAGCAAGGAAACCCTGCTTGATTTTGTTATCCTATGCACATCACCTAGGAAGTGAGACTGATAGCTAGCAATACTTTTCTGGGAATTGAAGGTAGTGATTATTCCTGTTAGAAGAGTTGTACCCCTACAGTGTGCTAGGTTTTGCACAGACATATATAGTTTTTATTTCTTGGAATTTACAGATGAAGAGAAGGCAAACAAATCTAGTTATCATTTTTGGGTGGTGCTGTTTATCATAGAGAGGAAAGATACGCGCTTGTAAACCATATATACTATTCTTGCTTATCAGTAAGTGGTAAATCTAAGCGGTCAATTTGTTCTGTGCTAGTTGCGGTACTATCACAGTCTTAGTAGAGTGATACGACTTAAATGTCATCCATTTAAATCCTAGCTTAAACTATGATCATTGTTAAAAACGTTCAACTTTCCCCCCTCATTAGTTTATATAATTTTAAATATTTGTTTCTAATTTATGGATATTGGTCCTTTTTTTTTTTTGCATCTATGTAAAAAGTTGTTTATTTGATTATTTACTAGAGTGGAAGATTTTTGAGATAATATGATAGCTAACCAGCATGTCCAATGAATTAATCATTGATACTGGGAATAAATGTTCATTTTGCCTTTCCTAACTAAAACCGTATGTTTATATGGACTATATATATTTTTTTAACAAAAATTAAAAGTTCTTTGAAGAGGAAAATAATAATTCTCCAGCGTCAGCCAACATGGGTAAATGGAATTTTTTCCTTTTAATGAACATATTTATAGTCCTCTAAAATGACAGAGGATCTTTTCTCCCTTTCATACACATTAAATTTCATTAGTCTATTGAGAATCAATAAAACATTATTTGAAAAGTTTTTGTCTGTTAGAATTTTGTTTTGAGTTGTCAAGCCTTAACGACAGATAGAATTTTTAAGATATTTGGAGTGCCTGGGTGGCTCAGTTGGTCTTGATTTTTGGCTCAGGTCATGATCACAGGGTGATGAGATGGAGCCCCACCTTGGGCTCTTGCTGGAGGTGGAGCCTTCTTGGGAGTCTTTCTCTCCCTCTCCCCGCCCCTCCCCCACTTGTGTTCACGCTTTCTCAAAAAAAGTTTTATTTTTTTAAAGATTTTATTTATTTGTTTGACAGATAGAGACCACAAGTAGGCCCAGAGGCAGGCAGAGAGAGAGCGGGGAAGCAGGCTCCCCGCTGAGCAGAGAGCCTGATGCAGGGCTCTATCCCAGGACCTTGGGATCATGACCTGAGCTGAAAGCAGAGGCTTTAACCTACTGAGCTACCCAGGTGCCCCAAAAAAGTTCTTTTAATTGAAAAGAATTTTTAAAATATCTGTAGGTAGGCTTTTTAAAGACTTTTTTTTACTATGGAAGTTTTAAACTACACAGAACTGGGGAGAATAGTATTATGAACTTCCATATACCTATTCTCCAGATTTATTAATTATCCACATTTTGGTTAATGTACTTTTAAGTTCTCACCACTATTGTAAAATAGTAGTAGTACATCAGATTTTTCTGGTTTTTCCAAAAGTTTTGTTACAAATAGAGAAACTTCAGAAGCAGCGTGTTTTAGTTCAGAGACTTGACTTTGGACAAACCATAATTATGAAACTATTTTAATCGTTAGGTTTTCTCTGTTAATTCATAGGCTGAGAAAAAAATTAATTTTTTTAGCTTTTCATTTAGAACAAAGCAGTCCAAATATTCCATATCTGTATGATAAGTATTATTCATCTGAAAGGTTAGGTTATCTTCAAAGTGTATTATCTGAGGGTTGCTATTGTTTTAAATGTTTTTTTCCGTAACCTTCTCTTTCTCTATAAACTTAATCATTGCTCTGCTTTCTAGACCGCAAATCTCTATTTTTTGTCTAAACTTGAGGCCCAAATTTTTACCTATGTCTTGAAACTAAATATGTTTAAATACTACCCCTGTAGCAGCTGCACACAAACACCCCTCCCCTTACCCCCAGCTGAAAAGCTCTTCCCAGTTTTCCTCTTCAGCTGTTAGTAACTTCATTATTCTTGTTGGTTATTTTTACTCTTACTTCCTAAGTTCATTGAGTCAGTAAAACAGTTTGTTTCTAACTTTATAAGGACTCTTTTAATCTTTTTGTCCTTTTCATTTTCAGTATAATAATCTTGATTTGGTTAAGATGTTAAAGCAGGAGATTGTTCCTAATCTATAATGAACTTCATATACATAAAAAGGAAGCTATGTTCCTAAAGTAAACTAAGACATTTTCTTCCCTTCCAGAGAAGGTTTCAGTCAGCCTTCTATAGGCAAACACATCAGTATTAAGGCCTATGTGTTCACCGTATTTAAGCTAAGGTTCTATTTAAGACTTCAGGATCAGCTCAAATATCCTGGAGAACAGTGGCTGGCAGGGCCCACAGTTTATGGAGGGGGGGCAGTGTGTAAACAACAGACTTCATGAGGCCACAGCCTAGGATGAGTTCCTTCCAGCCCAGCATATCTTGAAGTGCTTTTCAGTGGAGGAAATTCTAAGTGTACATAACACATTTTCAGGAATTCCTGGTGTTTTTAAGGCTAAAGGTATGAGTCTATGGGTTTACGTTAAAACTTATCCCTCACGCCATATTTCCTGGTCAAGATAGTTCCTGTCTAAAAGCCACCTTTGCTGAAAGGGACAGGATACTCTCTTCATTTCTTTTCTTTACAGACTCCTGGAATTGATGTTTGTCAGAAAGATAGGAACCTGTGGTTATTTAGGAGGGTATAAAATAGAAACGGGAAAATAAGTTATATCCATTGCATTTCCCACTAGCTGTCATCCAGCCTCCAGGGGTCTTGGGCTTGATTCCTTTCCCAGTGGATTGTAGTTTATCAGTTTGGCTTGCTTTTGATCAGCTTTTGGAGATCTTTTTTCTTTATGCTCTTCTGGGAAATGTTTGAATCTCCTGGTAAGAACCAGGACCCTATTTGAGATTACTGACTTTGGGAATAAAAGAACAAAATTCCGTATTGCTTTAACCTAATCCAGAATGGTTATTTTCTTCTAAGGGAATTAGGAATAATAAGTAGATTCTGAGATGCTTATGCAGAAACTAATTAATAGTTATTAAGAGCGGAAAATGGAGGAGTAAAATACATTTCTAGGAAGCTTAGTTTGGTAGGAGTAGACATTGGGGTGAGATTCAGTAGCCATTTGTTCTTAGGCAAATTAAAATCAACCTTTCTGAGCCTTATTTTAATTGTAAAATGGGTGGGTTGGATTAGGTAGTATTTTAAGGTTTCTTTGCAGCTCTGAAATTCTAAAATGAATGGTTTCTTGGAAAAAAAATCTCCTAATTTATATACTGTTTTATATAAATTTTTTTATTTTTTTTATATATATATATATATATATATATATATATATTTATTTTTTTTTTTTTTTTTTTTCCTATTTCCTTTAGAGGCTAGGAATAGGAAAAAAGGAGTCAGATATCCTAAAATGGATTAGATTTTGGTATTATTTATCTGTGTTTCTCCACTGAATTTATGCTGGACTCTACTTTCTACCTTATATTTGTGCACATTTTCTTGCTTTTTCTTTACACTGTAACTTTCATATCCCTCTTTTCGTTACTGCTTTTTTTTTTTTTTTTAAAGATTTTATTTATTTATTTGACAGAGAGAGATCACAAGTAGACGGAGAAGCAGGCAGAGAGAGAGAGAGAGAGGGAAGCAGGCTCCCTGCCGAGCAGAGAGCCCGATGCGGGACTCGATCCCAGGACCCTGAGATCATGACCTGAGCTGAAGGCAGCGGCCCAACCCACTGAGCCACCC